AGGGAGAGAGAGGGAGAAAGAAGGAAAGGAGGGAGGGAAAACTTTGCAGAAAGTCTTTGTCTAATCGAAATTCAAAAATAAAAAAATTCTGGCGGTATATTAATGATTTGGTATATTCATCGTCTGGTACAAAAATTTATGGAATTTGATAAGAAAAGTTTCCCTTTTCCCATTCTTTCCACTCCCCTCTTCCTCCTTCTCTCTCGTTCTCTCTCGTACGGACTAAATGCGACAGCAATAACTCTCTTTGATGATACCCGACAGACATTTGAACATCGGCGGAGTTTCACAGTTCCCAATATTCATCTTCCCATGGCTGCTGATAATTAACAGCAAACTGTAAAAGTTCCTGATGGTAATTCATAATTGCAAGATTTTACAACAGTGAAGAAATTTATGATTCCACCAATTCATCTTTCCTCTCTCCCTTTACTCTTCGAAATTTAAAGATAAATTTGGGAGGGAAATGCAACAAGTGATGATGAGGAGGATTTTGTCTACCGGAAACCATCACGGATAGCAATAAATTGTTCGTTGCCTCTGACGACTAACAGCTATTTTTCAAAACAAAACAATGAACAATTTAAATGCTTATTTGCCAACAGCCAAGGGCTAACAACTGTCCGGATGTAATGACGGCACTAATAATTATTGTTGATTTTTTTTTACATTTCCGTTTTCCACCAAATAAGACTTTTTCCAATACGATGCATTATTCTGCTCGATGAATTGCCGGACAGATTTTACGGGACAAATAAAAAAAAGGATAATACGAAGCGGAGTTTATTTATCAGTTTAATCATTTCTTGAAACATTTTCTCACAGACAATTAGTTTGCGCGCGTCAACTAAAGGATGGGAAAAGTGCTGGCGGCTTTCGATATATCTGATATTGAAATATTAGAAATGAATTTCAGAACTGTTGAATCAATTTGTTGGTTGAACTAAAATGTCATACATATAGCAATGTTCACATTTGCATAAAGATTACGGTTTTCCATGATATTTCCAAACATCGTCTAGCAAAGCGATTTTTTCTTTTTGCTAAAAATTTCACGGATATTTTAATTTACTGTTCTGATGTTTTTCAGTAATGAAGCTTCGGAAAAATTTTTCGTCGATTTCATGGTGACAGTATGACAGATCATTTGTTTATCTCAATCCTCCGCAGCACTGAGATAAATAAATGATTTCTTTGATGGATCATGTTGCAGCATTTTCACATTGATATGATCCTTTTAATCGATGTACTTCGTACTTTGTTTTTGTAACTTCCGTCCTTAAATCAAATAGGTTTCCTTAACGCTGTAATAAAATAATACTTAGGCTCTTCTTTCTTCTAATTACTGCTTGTTTATTTATTTATTTATTTATTTATTTTATTGCTATCATCATTATCATCATCTGAAAGGATGCTCATTTCATTTGATACATTCATCTCTTAAATACAAGCTTCCTTAAATTCACAATTATAATTTCATGGAGTGTTTTTACACTTTTAGTTCGATGCTTTATTGCTCTTTTGATAACTTTAGGATTGCGGTTTCTTAATTGAATCGGAAAATTTCACGAACTTTGAGTACTTCTCAAAATACTTCCCTGTCCTTTTTCTGCAAATTCCTTGTGCAATTTTGCATTCTTTTCAACATTTATAAGATATGTGCTTTGCTTTCTATGTAATGCAATACTATCCAGTGTTGTTAACAGATGTTGACAGAAAATATAATGCATATACTTTTTTCCTCTTCATCTTCAGTGTTTTTACTCGGACTTGTCTCTTTCAGATGACAGTATTAGTTTAGAGTATCACAGTTTTGCATATCCTAATTTTGTATTGCTTATCAATCAGGATACGAGTCGAAGAAAATATGTCATGAATTCATCGGGCTATATTTCTCCTGTCGGAAGAACTTCAAGCTTTATGCTTTCCTCTGAAAATTATACGATATTTCCTCTCAGTACAGTTTAAAAATTGAAAGGTTGGGAAAGGATGGCGAGAGATGGATGTTCAGATCTGGTAAGATTACAATATAAATTCATTAAAAACGGGAAAGGATTGATATATTTCAGATCTGGATAAAATATTCGTACAATAATCTTTCATCATTTCTAAAATCTCAATGAATTATCGAGTTTGTTATTAAATTACATTGTCACTGATAATCACTTGAAGGAAATTTATAACATGGCTGGGCAAATGTCATGTGTTTGAGAGTTCTTGAAGTAAAAGTTCTTTTAACAATATTTTTGTTTTTACTTTTTTTCTCCCTTCTCTAACAGTAAAAATTCATTTCAAAATTCCGAATCTCCCTTATTCATAGTTTTTTAAAACATTTATATGAGCCAAAATAAATAAATTGTTCAATTTTTCCAATCGTTTTTTTCTAATTGTTAATTGTCAAAAAATTTTCCAATTATCAAAATTAAATTTTCATCTAATCTATGATGTAGTAGGAGTTCTTTGACAACATTTACGTAAGACATGATTTTTTGCGTACATTTACACTCGAATGAGCATGAGAAGGTAAAATATATTGAGGATAGTTTAAAGTTTATTGTGGTTCATTGACCGTTCCATTTTGGCTCCTGAATATGCAAATTACAGTAGGCAGGGAACAAGACTGTTGAAAGCAGGGAGGAAAAGGAACGAATTTGGAAGAAGGAAACAAGAAAATAAGTAGTTATAGCCTGCAAAGATCATGTCACCAAATATGATGCACTATTTTTAATCTTTTTTGTTATGATTACTTCATAAGGATGCGATCATCCCGATCATTCCCGATCGGTTTGAAGATGATAAAGTTGGTTGATACTCATTTGTTCCTCCTGTAAGTTGCAGTTTTCTCAAAATTACGAAATTTAACACTGTTTAATCTCATTTTTTCTACATTTCTTATATACAAACGATAAACATTGTAATATACGCTTCCTTTTTTTCGAATAATTTATGTAAAATTTAATTATCACATTATTCATTTCATTTTTGATTTAGATATTCTAAATTTTCTTTCAACTTAAATATTTTTTACCAATGATTAGACAACTGTATTGTTAATTGTGTCATTTAGTTGAACGAACTGTTGTCACCAAAATCATTTCGATTCTATCCAATACCGCCTCATTTGTTCACTTTTTAGTCTTTTTATCATAAATATATTGCAATAGAGCAAGTTAACACATTCTTCGCATTCTTTTTCTTCAAATTTACATTCTTGTTCATACCCTTAAGAAATTCTCTTTTCCCACCATCACACTTCAACTTTTAATAGTGTTATTAAATTCTTTGGATTTAAAATTCTTTTAATGAATCAAAAGTTTTTTTTTTTGGCGGAAAAGAATTGGATTCTGAGAGAGTAAGCATGGATGGAAGAATCCAGAAAAGCCATTTGACAAAATATAATATTTTGCCAAATAGAAAATGACTCAGTGGGTGGAAAAAAAAATAAATAAATACGCTTCTGTCGTCATTTTATGTGCATTCTGTTTCCTTTTCCTACTTTTCTTTTTTTTGCCAACTCGGAAATTTATTGAAATAATAATGATATGGTACTGAACGATTCTGGGATTTTTTTGAACAACAAATAAAAGAAATTGAGTCCAAAATAAATAGGCCAGACTAATATTGGCCAAGTATTTTCTTTGATTTTTTAGATTCGAAATTTGAAGGTGGTTATGATATTAAAGCTTAAATATTCATTGTCAATTTGAATAAATTCTTCTTGTAATTTATCAGAGGAATGAAGAGAATGTACTAAAAGTGGAAAAGCTTTTAAAAATGAAAATTTTGTCCAATTGTTTACATTGTCGTTTAACTTACTTATGACTTGATTTTTTTCTCATAAATAACTCTTCCAATCTCTCTTATCTGCAATATCTCAAATTGAATAGAGGTTGTCTTTCGCTAAGTTATAAATGCAATCACCTAGAAATAATTATTCCCCTCTTCTTTTTTTTCCATTCCATTTATACTTTAGTGAATGTACTAAAAGTGGAAAAGTTTTAGAAAGGGAAAATTTTAGTTTAATTGTTTACTTTTTTATGGCAAATGACCGTAAAACTTTCTCCTTTTTATTATGAACTGCAGGATAAAGCTTTTAAGTGAAACATACACACTTACTCATAACTTCTCTTAATTCAAAGTACCACAATATTTACATTTTAGATGGATTAAACTCAGTTTCATTTCTCAGCTAGCTTTACGAGCAAAGCAGACAAGTGTAGCCTATCATTTCGTTCTTGGCTTGGAAGTAAAGCTCTTTACATGAGAACAAGTTATAATATTGAACACTAATAACTAGAAATTTCTGTTGTACTTTTAGACTGATTACTTACACAATCGGATCGCATTGATACTATCATTCTTATGTCATCTTCCTTCTAATAATCATGTCTTTAGTTGTGTCATATATATAAAATATATCATTTTGCATTATAACATTTAGTTTCATTTTATAAAAGGTTGACAAATATTTTGTTTGCTTCTGTTTATTTATTGACTTTTGATCAGTTTATTTTAGCACAACCGCTATTTTATGTTCCATGGAATGATACGTCGTTTTTTTCTTTTTTTATTAGGTTTGCAATCTGTTGTCATGCTTTTTGAAAATTTTAAACTTTTAATTCTTCGAATTTCACTTTTATTATAATTTTTAGCGAAGAACAAACTCTTATATCACTAACCAATTATTCCAGTTTTTTTTCTTATGTTGTAATTTTTCGATCGAAATTCCTAGAGAAGCTAAGATTACCATCAGCAGTTGACCACCGGGAATCATTTTCTCTTTTACCTTACTCATCTTTACATAAGAGGAAGAAGATATAAATTATGGCGACAAAGAAGTAAACGATTTAGGGAGGTTACCGGTCAGAAAAGCATGAATTTTCGTCAATGAGCCCACAAAGTGCGACATTTTACTCATATTTCGTTTTCTTGCTCATTAATGACAAGATAATAAAAACAAGTGGTTAATAAACAATGAAGTCACAGTACGACATCAATCCCGTCGTAGCTATCCGTAAACTGCGCATTTGTGTACGCCGTGTGTTTCTCTCAAAGTGACGTTATTCTGGATAACGTGTTACGTCAGATGAACAGGATAATGTGAGTGATTCACTTTACGTATTTTCCTTATCCTTCCTACATGATAGAGCGTTATTGTCACTTTTTCACTTTCAGATAATCGTTCCGTCTTCAAATTGAATTTATTTGGAATACGCTTAATGGCAAACATATTGCTGGCAGAGTGCCACAAATGCAAAGGAGAGAGACAGACAAATGGACAGAGAGACTTATGAGTGGATTCATTGGACATTTTCCAAAAAAGAATTGTTCGGTGAAGTATTAGAGATATGTGTCTGTCTCCATATGTTACCTATATGCTAAGAGGAGGTGTCGTATCCAGCGTTTTCCTTTGACATCCGTCCACATTTGCCTACTCGTTCTTTCGGTGTTCTCCACTCGATCAAAGGGCAATTCTGTCCTCCCTCCCAATGAATGATAGCTGTCAGGTGAGGGACGAAGGAGACAACACCGTTCTGTGAAGGACTTTTCTGTTGGCTGTACCCTCTGCATCTCAATAGTACGTTTTGTGCCAAGCGTCGTCTGATAGTATCAGCAAAGAACACCCACACGTCACTGTCATTATCGCAGGAAGTCAACTGTCTTGGAGGTCGTCTTATAGTACCAAAGATGCCAGTATCTACAAACAATCTGCCTACAAACGGACAGATGGATCAGTTCCGGTCCTAGTAAACAGTACTGTTGTTGAATCGCATATTACCCGCATAAAAGGCCATCATTTGACCGCCGACCATTTATATAACATTTGTTGTTGTTTTTGGAATTGTTGCAATGTAATGCAGCTACAATAGTCACAGTTATGGACAACTGGTAGCCATCCGAGGTACACTATTGTTGCCATCCTTCGGGTATTTTCACTTCTGTTTCTTCTTTTCGCCTTCTAGATTAGGATTGCATGGATTTTCCTCCATTGTTTATGGTAATTTGATCTCGTCTGGATGATTCATTTCGAAATTAATTTCATTTTGAAGCATACCTATATGCATGATCTTACAGGTATCAAGTACATTGATTGTTTAATTGAGAATCAGTAAGTCAAGTTCGATGATCTTCGGTATTGGTAGAATTTGTATGAATCATTAAAACTTGTCTCGATTGGCTTTTTTCTCTATCGTTTGAATACAAGAAAGCAAATCTTTTTAATTCGATTTTAATGGAAGAAAAGGGAGCGTTCTTTTTTATCGTTCTTAACCGCCACAACATTACCACCTGTTGTCAGACAGTAGCACCAGCTGTGATCGCATGTAAACTTCTTTTTTTCTTTTTTTTTTAAATTTTTTTGCCAAATGAGGCTATCTTGGTGGTATCTATTTGATTATCTATCGATCCATCTATATATGTATAATTTATTTTATATTTATATTAATATAATGTGTAATGAAATATACTTTTTCCTTCTGACTCATCGATTTCGTTTTTTAACCATTCACATTTTTCCTCAATTGCTGATTCATAATTTTTTCCCCTTTCTGTGGCAACATCATTATCGGAGATCTCCGTTTGTACTTAATGATCCGAAGATCAAGTTTTCGTAACCAAAAGTTTGTCATCATTGTTTGATGGTGGGGGGAGAGGAAGGGGGAAGAAGAATAGATGAATAGATAACCGGAAAATACAAAAAAATAAGTTAGTTGGATGACGAGGGTGAAAGAAGGAAAAAGATATAGATAGAAAATCAGGTGACTCAAATTCTTCCTTTTCTTCCATTCCAGTTCTAGATTATCCTAAATAATTAAAAATAATACGCCTGGAGGATAAGGAGGAAATGAAGTATGATTTGGTATGTGATGAACAAGGAATGAAACGATAATGGGAAGGTTCTTCTCTAATCGAGAGACCTTCGGCTCTATTCAGCTGGTTGTCGTTTCGCTTTTGGATTTTTTCTTCAAATTATTTTCAAACTTTTACACAGTAATAATAATTTTATAGAGTTTATTTAATGAAAAGCTGAAAGTTGACCCGAAGTTTCTCATTAATTAGCTGAAATATGTGATCACTAATAAAAATCAGCTGAATGTGAATATTATTTTGTCGTTTGTAATCGCAGGGACTATCTAATAATCCAAGTCATTAGTCCTCTGAAGTATCCGCATGGATAAAGCAATCCGTAATCTGCTTCTTTACCATAACAAAAAAAAAAAAGAAAAAACATGCAATAAACTCGAAAAGGCTGGTAGATTAACTTGGTCTGCTGAGATTTTGAGAAAAGTGTGAAATTAGTACTTTATGTACGAAAAGAAATTCTAAAAATGAGATCAAATATCTCAGTAATTTGCATAAAAAAGAATTTCCTTTTACCGATATCAACTACTCGTGCTTTCTTCAAGATAGAATTAGGTTGCGTAAAACAAATGTCTATCTAAATTCTGCTACTTCTCCACTGTTTAAATACTAAAGATTTTAATGTAAATTATTATTTTGCATTTGTGCTCTTGATAAAATCGAAATATGTAGATTAGTTTGTCGGAATTTCCATTTTTATAATTATTTCTGTTCCATTATAATAGTAAATGAAACTGAATATTCTCTAGTTTTGGTTTAGTGATGAGTATTTGGATGGTGTCCTGTTAGCACAGATGGTTTCAACTGAACGGTTCAATTCAACAATTAAAAAAAATGAAATTTTTGAAAATCCTCTCCTGTTTAATACCAAAAAGTAGGGAAGGAATTCAGGTGACTATTCAATAAATATATTTAAAAATGATAATATACAAAAAAACAGTCATCAGCACCAGCGCAATAATCTCAGCACTTCAGTTGCATTCAGATCTCTTATTTGATGCACTTTCCGCCCAGCCGGTCCTTCCAGACATATATCCACTGCATTACATCACCATCAAAGCAACTGCCAATTGATGATATTTGTGATGATAATATATCCTATCCCCGTACCCTTTCATCTATTTATTTTTCATACGCATAAGCTTTGTTTACCGTTTACTTCATCCTTTCATTATCGTTGCCAGCAAAACTTTTTTAATTATCCATTTATCTATGCAAATTTATCAGTTTATTTTAATTTTACCAATAACACTGATCCTATTAAATATATTTCTCTGTGAATAAATTTATGTTTTATTATGGTTTAAAGTAAAATTAACACCGAATGAAATCAGCTCAGATCAGGTTTAAAAGGATTTCTACAATTTTATATCTTGATATCATTCTCGTATGTGATGCGTTTTTTTCTTTTGAAAAGATTTTGGAAGCAAATTTAAAGGATCGTTTTTTTCTTTGAGTAATACTTTCGTCTTTCTTGTCTTCCGAATCTCATTATTCACTCATTTGCTCAAGCGTACGTCTGATACACGTGATCTGATATTACATCCCATTGGTTAACGTTCCAAAAACTTTTTTCCTTATAGTATAAATTTCATACTTCTTCATGCCTTAACCTAACCTTTCACATTTTTTCGAATAAAAGTTTTCTTGATTTACTATTGTGTTTACATAGTTTTGCTTCCATATCTTATCAGAGTTCTTTTTTTTTTGGAATAAATATCAAAATTACCTGAGATAATACAATGCTTTCACCTTGTTTCTTGACATTTAACAGGTTAAAAAATATTCCATCGTACTGAAGTTCGCTTCAGTCATTTTGATCCTTGTCATTCTAATTCCCTATTTTTTCAACTGATGTAGAGGTGTAGAATTTTGTTGCGTTTTAATTTTATATCACATTTCTGGTGGGATAAGAAAAGAAAGATGCTACTGCAAAGAAATTTGTCATCTTTCTTATCACTTATCATCTGAGAACGTCTGACCTCCATCATCTGATCTGTTTGTGCAATATTACCATTTTAAAAAAGAAACATAGCAATAGTTTTGTCCACAATGATTTGGTAATGTGGGAAAGTGTTGAAATTGACTTAAAAAAATTCGAAATTTTCATAAAATTTTGTCGGTTCATATTAAAACTCCCTTTCTAATTCAAACTATAACATTTGCTTGCGATGATGAGTTGAGCGTCTATTTCTCTATGAATTCCTAGGTCTGTTGCAAAAAGGCTTTGCCAAAGTATATTGGAGGTCCACCACAATATTTCTCAAATGTACTATAATGCTGGAGATCATTCCTGAAATATCAGTTGTCCTGTCATCATTACCAAAGTACTGGATGTTCTGTCATTACACGGATTTACGTAGAACTTTTTTTTATTAGCTAATATAATTTTTTTCTCAAACTGTTAGATTTTCAGTGAATTCATGAAAGATTGAGGAAAAGTGCAATAGCAGCAAGAGCAGTTGTTGTTGCAGGTAGGCGTTAAATTGATGACAAGTCAGTAGTTTTTTCTTCTTTTTTTTAACATCAGATCCGGAAAATGAGATTTGGAAGGAGCAGGAATGGATTTCATGATTCGGTTTCAAAATAGTTCCTTTTCATTGTAGAGCACTTTTTCTGAAAGATAATCTCTCCTAAAATACAAAAGTATTTTACAGGTAGTTTCTCGTGTTTGTAAAACTAAAACATCGAAATATTTCATTTTTCCTGCCTAATGCCTTATCTGATGTCTTATCTCCATGAATTGCACCTTTTTTAGCTGATAAGCTTTGCTATCTTTCACTTGTTGCATGAAAGAAAGAGAGAGAGAAAAAGATATACCTGTGATATTTAGAGATGGAAATAAATTTTCAAAACTTCTCTTCATTTTGCTATTTGGTACTCCTTATGTATAGAAGCATTTACGAAATCTTTGACTTTCATTTTAGTATGATGGGCTTGAATATTATGACTTTGTATGCTCATTATTTTAGAGACTGTATTTAATCTAATATTTTATTTCTAGTATTTGAATTCAGAATGTAGCTGGGCTTGATTTCAACGGTAATTAATTTTACGGGATGAAACTGGAATAATTCTATTTGTTAAACATACTCTCAGGTTCTTTCTTAACATTCTATTTGGCAAAAAAAAAAGGCGACAATATCATAGCCATGATCAGTAATATAACTCAACTTGAGACTTGACAGTATCAATAATATGAGTCTTATATACACAACCTTCCTTCATTCTTTTTCTTGTGACATAAATGGAATGAATGAAATTTTAATTATGATTCGGGACAGTGTTGTGTATAACTCTATTCATAGTATGGTTCATTTGCACCATATTTTTATGATTCCCTTGCTCATACTCTCATATGATATCTCTGTTTAATCATACCTGTTTAAATATTCTAATTCTGGATCAGGACCAGGAAAGGACAAAAACATTGGCATATGATCTGTTGGAAATTCCCATCATTATCCACAATTAATTTAGTATTTTGTCAAAACGACCCACATTTTTCGATGAATCATGTGCATATCATCGTTCCTTTTACGATGCCAACAATTCCAACTCCATTATTACTCTAACGTTTTGCAGAAATTTTGAAACATCAAAAAACAAAATTTCAATTAACGATGGCAAAATTATTCACATTCGAACTTTTCAGTCATCATTTATCATATGTCATTTGCACTTTGTTTAACAGCAATACTTATTGTAGATTTGATTACAATAATGCTTTGGAAGTATACATTACATAATTGATAACTGATAAATAATATTTTTGAAACCAATAAGAAGCATGAATACATTGTGTTAGTAGCCAGATAAGCTTAATTGCTTTTACCATAACTCTCATTATTTAAATGTAGTCACGTATATCCAAATAACAAGATAAATTTGGGGAAAATAATGGGTTTGTCGCGGAAGAGGAAAAGATGTGTTGAAGAAACTGAAGGAAATGAAATATGAGCAGAACAATCTTGGAGATAGACCTATGGAATGACCCATACTAAGTGATGTCACTGAATAACTTTCCGCAACGGTCAACTTGCTACTTAATAGGGATGTCTCCCTTTGTCCTTCCAAGGTATCAAATTAAGTTCACAATATTTATCAAAATCTAATGATATATTCAATTCATTTCAGTGGATATATAATCTTCGAATTCATAATTTCAACATTTCCGATAACATTAACTCTGTGTTCTTTGCTATTCTTCATTCCATATTTTGTTTAGATCAAAAAATGAAACATTATTTCAATTGAAAATAGAAATGATCGATTTAATGATATTTAATGGAAAAGATTTGATTTTGAGTAATGTAATCCATTTCAGGTAACTGGAACAGTTATATAATTGATCAGAAATGCAAAGAAAGCTTATTCTCCTACGATTAATGAATTTCATTAGGAAAAGAAGAAAGAAATGAGTTGAAAACATGTCGTTCAAAACATTCCAAATCATACTTAACACTCTAATAAGTTCATTGGTGACAAATTTCGAAGAATTTAATTTATTAATGCCGTTGTTTCGAGTACAAACATAAATTTAAAGGTAATCAGTAATAATTATTACTTATTTCAGTAACACTTACCTTTTGTAAAACTGTAAAATTTCAATTGTAATGCAACAGTTTTTGTAAAAAGTATTGCATTCTGAACTGGAGAAAAACAATGGCTGCAAATAGAGTTGGGTGGTATAATTTTCGTTTTTTGTTTGTTGTTGAATGATGGAATTGAATTGGAGAGAAGGGTTGTAATGAAGGATATATATTGAGAAAGAGAAGCATCAGGCCAAATGCTTCATAGATTATTAGCTTTTTTTTTTATTTTTATTTTTCAAAATATGTTAAAATGAAGGGAGGAGAGAGGACGATGGCTCTCAATGGTGGCATTTTTTTTTTTTATTCCAAGCAACCATATGCCAACAGCTTTTCCAAAATAGTTTCATGAAGTCGTCTATAAGCAATGACGTAAAAAAATCAAATAAACTTGAAAACATATTTTAGAAGTCTTGCTTACACCTACAGTATCATATCGGTTTGTTTGGAAATGCATCATACTTTTTTCTTTTTTATTTTCTCTCCCAATTACGTCACATTATAAATGATGTTTGTTTGAATCGGATTGAATTGTTGAATTTCTGGAATTCTATTTGTGCTTTTACACTTGATTGCTATTAGAAATTGAAGTCTGAATTTTGAGTCTTAGCATAGAAATTGAAAGTAAGTTAATTCGTGGAGTGACAACAGGTAAGCTGTCTTTCCCTCTTTTTTTTCGAAATTAAAATCTTGAGTAATATGACGTGGACAATTTTTTATGATTGCCTTACGTGGATATCACTGAAAAATGAAGCAGCAGTATTTGATCAAGTCCTATTAGAAAGTATTTGATTTGATCAAATCCTGTTAGAAATTTGATCAAGTCCTATTAGAAAGTGACGATGATCATCTAGTCATAATTTTGACATTTCGATACATAAGTCCTAAATTAACTTTTGAATTCGAATTCAAGTTGTATTCACTTTTATTCTGTAACTGTCGCAGCATTCCAAAGTGGTAATGTTCCGTGGTTTCGAGCATTGAAAGTATGAAACTGCTACAGGTAGTATTAGTGATATTAATTAGCTATTAGGAAACAAATACCCAAATGTCACCGGGAATTTATTAGTAAAGCTGGAAAGAAAATGGTTATCGGTCGGTTAGGTGGCACCAAAAGGATCATAAAATTTTTGTTGATGTCACAAGTCATCGATATGTGGTCGAACCATCCTACCGACGACGAGAGAATGACGACGACTGTCACTAACGTAACCCAATCTCGTGTCGCCGTAGCTGTCGCCAAATTTTGTCCTTTCTATCAGCTTGTCACTATATGACTTATGACTTTTCGTCGTCGTTATACCTTATCATCTGCAGACAATCTCTTAAATCTAGATTGATCGATTTGTCTGCAACTGGAAAGAGAAAGAAAACCGGAGGTAGTTGTTCTTACAGGGTGGGCGGTTAAATGAGCTAGGCGACACCTGTAAACGCCATCGTTTTTCAGTCCATTAATTCTCTTCATTTGTTTTTTCATGCCATTTTTTTTTCTCTGCACCTCCCAGACAAATCATTTATGTTTTGGATCCACCGATAGTATCCCGCTTTACTCATTTTTTCTACAAGAACTTCCCATATTTTAATAAGATGTTATTTTAACTCTATCAAATCTAGACAGATTTCTCGAATATCCATGGCTGAAAGCTAACAGCGGCTAATTTGCATATTGTGGGGTGGGGTGGGTGAGTTACTAAAAATTTGCATACTGACTTTTCCCTAGCCTCACATCTGGTCATTTCAATCTAATCTAGCTCTTATTGCTGTTTGGTTTTGTTGTTTCGTTTATCCTCGCCTTTTACGTTTGTGGGTGTACTTTTGGTAAGTTGATTCAAATTGATTCAAATCTAGTTTATGAAAAATTAAATTTCTTTTTCTATCCCAATTTATAAAAATCGAATTCCAGTTACATCTCAGTTTTTACCATTCTGCGCAACATACGGTGGGAAGAATTCGCCTCATTAATGTTTCTGGTAGAATTGCAGCTTTTTAGTTTCATCCTCCGATAATAATTTAGGTAATTAATAGTTGAGATGTTGACTGTCAACATCCCTTTTATTGTTCCAAGCTTTATTGTTTCTCTTATCATTACTGTTTTCAAGCTTCATTTACTGAATTAAAAATTTAGTAGTGAATTTTTACTGAGCTTAATACAAATTTAATTCAGTGATCGATGCATTTCACTCCGAAGCATGAAGAATTTCCGTACAGAATGAGCTCAGTACGGGAGAAAATTCCGGGAAGGCATTTGGAGGATTATTTTTTAGGCAAGAATGCCATCTTACTTTTACCGCCACATTCTCCTCTTCCCATGATCTCCCGTCATTCATTTATCAGTCTGGCTTGAGTGAAATGTATCGGTTCTATTCGTATTTCAGCACATTAGCGTGAGCGTGGGTGTAAGAATTTGGGTATGAGGAAAAGAGGTAGGAAGTGCGTTGCACTAAGAGACGCATTAGTTTCATTTTCCATTTTTATCTTCCCTCCCTTCCCTCGCCCACTCCCTTATTCAGCTTCTTTCTCACCTCATTATTTGTCATTGTTGTTTGAATGTGATTAGCTGACCGGGGGCGGTAAATGATCCAATGAAATGAAGAGAAGAACAAGGGAACGTTTATTATTTAATGCGCGATGACATATTGATAAATGCATTCTCAGTTGAATAATTACGAGGTGATTTTGGATCTAAATGTGTTTTCATTTCGGTGGAAGGACTTATTCACCTGGCGGTGTTTAATTTTGGTTTTATGATTTGTGATTTAGTTTTTTAATTCGAAGTTTTCCTATTTTTCTTATTGTTTGAACAGCTCCATGTTTTCTAATTTTGCCGGTTTATTCTTTCGCTGCTTCAACATTTTCGCGCATATTGATTTTCGAATTCAAATATATGCCGTTCTCTCCCAGTCACTTCCAGTATTCTTTTCTTTAGTTATAATTAAAATTGTCGATGTTACAAGTTCTTGTTCTTCAAACTTAGGATTATTTACATTTTTGAATATTTTCAATCGAGCGCCAACTGTTACTATGGAACTGAGGTCACGTCAAAATTTGCCGTTAAATGATCCCTTTCATACTATTAGGGAAATTTTCTCTCAATATATTACTTTAATTCTGTTCTGTGAAATGCTTATTTATCAGCAACCTATGAATGATTTTGTTTTTTCCAATTTTGATTAAATTTTTCGAGACATTTCATTGGGAATTTAATGGTTGCAGTGGAATTGACATCTTGACCAGTTGACATTTAACAAATTAAACTTGTAATGCATTTAATTAAACACATGGATTTTTCATCAGACAATACGGCTCATCTCTTGTAGGTTTATATATTGATTTCTTGTTTCAGTTATTGTTTAATTACTCATTTCTTCTGTAATTTTGCATTCATTTGCGCAGTATAGCAAATTGGTGTATTTCTACTTTTGCACTTTTCATTTGATTTGCACTGCATTGTTGGGACAGTAACAATAGACAACTCGCCGTATCAATTAGTACTTGTAACTTTTTGTTCCTAGCTGATGTCCTACTTGACGTATTACCCATATTACACACTCTGAGTTACATATGATAGAATTGAGGATCACACATTTTGGTGTGACAGATCCAACATATCAGGAACAAGTATGCTTTATGTCGCTTGTTAACAACTCATTCGTATTTAAAACAATGTGTCCAGAATCGGTAATACCACTTCAAATTAATGTGTAGTCCGATTTCAAATTCAAATTTTTATTCCTTTGAATTATTTGGATTTGTAAGTACTTTAAAATATTTCTTTTTTTTTTGACCAAGAGACCGGAAATTAAAAGACATTAAAGGGTTGGGCTTAGTTATTGAAGAAATTCAGGTTCTTTTCATGTCTAACGGCAAATGATTATTTCTGATCTTTCTGAGAGATGGAAAAATAGGCGAGAAATGTCGTATTCATTGCATTTCATTCATAATGTTTTAAAAAGCGTACCTTCCTAAACACTCATAATTTTTTCCATTTCCTGAGAACAGTGGCGGAAATGTTATTCCAACTGCAGTAGTCAGTAAGATTCCAGTACATTACACAGTGTTTAATGCTTTTTTCAATCTCTTTAAGTCACTTAATATAAGTAATTTTAATTTATTTGATTCCAATATTAGAAGTTTAAGTTGATATTCAAGATCTTTTTGCTTTTTTTGTGGTTATCTATTACTTAAAAATGCTATATCATATGTTCAACATCGTTTTATTTTGGTTTTTGTTTTCAACTGCTCCAATTTATTCATCGCTTTTTTCGTTTTTCGTCATTTCTTAGCGTTGAAATTATCTGTTGCTGATATTAAGGTTTATGATTTCAATTCTAGCGAATTATTTGTTATCTTCTACCAGCTGTACCACCGCTACTATCAACAACTATATTTATAACGATGTTGCCACAATCGATGAAAAGGTCGAGACATGTCCGCTCAATTGATGACATCCCAGTGGAAGTATTGCTCATGATTTTTAAACGGTATGTGATTTTCACTTTTATCTATCTTAGGTATAATGTCTGATATTATAGCTGAATTAAATAGAATTCACAAATTAGAGAGAATTACAGTCATTGTAAATTTAAGAAATTAACCATTGATGTTCCTTGGCTGCGCAACATGCCAATTTTTTCCTGTTTTTTTCGTGCTAGGTTATTGACGTCATCATTCGAAAGTGCTTTCTGAATGGCATCATATTCTTGGTATAGATGATATCATGTAATATTTGAAGGAAGGAAAGGAATTGAGTTGATTAATACAGGCGGAAAAGGCGAACGGTCCATAATGAGTGGGAAATGCTTCATTAAAATTTTTGTTTTACTAAAATTGGCATGTGTTTGCTTTTTTTTTGTTTGCCTTTGCGCTTATGTTTGCTATGCTTCATTTTCCGTTTAATGATGAACTTTCTATGGAATAAGTAAATTAAGAGAGGCGGAAAATTTTCTGGCTAATTTCAGATAGGATAGTTTTCGACATGATATTTTTATAGTAATGGGCAAAGAAGCATAGCTACTAGATTGTTCAAACCGAATATTTATAAGTCTCTATGACCACAAACTAGAATAACTGATAAGAACTCAAAATTTTAACAGTATCAATTTGGATTTAGCATATCATCTGGAAAGATGAATTTCATTCTAGATGTGAACCATTAGCTTGTTTTCGAGCTCGTTTGGTTTGCCACCGCTGGCGTATCGTAATTGACAAAATGGATAAAGAAAGTCGTGAGGCAATTCTTGGTGAAGGACAAGCCCGTTTATATATATGCGATCGTCGACGGTACGTCTATATTTTTGTTTCTTATGGATTCTGTCGGATTCCCCGACATCCACCATCGAAGCCAAGGTCATATTCGCCGGAATGTGTTTGGGAAAACTATTTACTTTATCGCATCATTTTTATGTGTTTGACAGCTCTCTGTATCTGATGTACATTTTGACGTCCATATAATATGCTCATCAATTCTTGCTATTCTTCAGAGCTATCCTCGAAAAGTTCAACAGTCTTCCATCATGTTCCAACTCTGTCACTGAGTTAATAACAGCTCGTAAATCCGTTTTTCATGCGGATTGCTACGCATATACTGCACTCAATAATTGGTCCTATCGTTTCGACATGACGGAATGGACACGTAATTTCGATATTATTGAGGTAATTTTTCCAGGTATTGCGAAGAATTGGAAACTATTTATATTTAGGAGGAATTTCAATGGATTTGTGGTTTTGTAATAAATACACAGACGTTCAAAATTTAAATGATAACTAATTTCGAAATTAGCTTTGTTCCGTATCATCGCAGTTTGGAAGATGAGAAGTGGGAGAGAGCTAATCTGTGAAGATTTGTATGCCAGTGTAACTTCATGATATTCTTCATGAAGATGAAACGAGATGTGTGTGTGAACTGTTTGCATCGCGCAATAGCTATGTCGTAAGATACTCGTCAGTAATATGCAAAAGAATGAAGAATGTTTGGCATTCAGCTTGTCGGCTGCATGGCAAACAGAAATATCTTTGCGGTACTGTTTTCAAGGTCACTGAGTAATGAGTGCAACAACGTTTTTTAAATGTCTCGAGAATTGCAAGAACTTCTTGAACTCTTACAGAAATTAATGAATCGAATCCGTATGGGGTTTGTATTCTTAATGTATGGATTCTATAATAGGAAAATTAGTGATTTGAACAAGATTTTTTAACAAGGTAATGGGAACAAGTTCTGAATATTAATAGAATTATTGGTGGGCACCAGGATAAGCTCTTATCAGTACTGATAGAGGTAGTATTTGTTTGATAATTTACTTGGCTGTGACATGTTTTCTTTAATCCCGTCAATGTTAGCTAATCTTTTACCTGCATCTATGATTTGGTTGGCATTGTATTGGTACGGTAGAGACTGCCAAAATTTATTTTTTTTAAACTTGGTTATAGAAATGGTTGAAAATTTTTAAACAAATTGTTTTCTTAAACTTTTCCACTTTTTTTTTTTTTTGACGAATATGTCAGATAGGCTGCAAGTGCTTAGAAAATTGGATTTGCTTCCGTTGCCCTTTCTTTGGCTGTCCTCGACAGCCCCGTAATTTTGTATGTATCATCATACCGCTCCCGCTCACTTCCAGACATTCATATGATATCATCCGACAAGTATTTTTATGGTTCTTTGAATCATAAATTAAAAATACTTGCACTCTTCTTTTTTATCTGGATGAATCCATTGTTTTAAGTATCATTTATAAAAAGAACCCGAGTCAGTAATTTAATTGACAAAAGAAACTTCTATACATAAAAGTACTACTTTGCAAAATTGTGACAAGCAGTTACGATGTGCTTATTTATTTATATATTTGTTTGCGAATTTAGTAGTAGGCTTGCTAGTGCTAAATTTATTTTATTATCAGTTTTTTTTCTCAGGTATGGGTGCAGAATTTTGGCGCTTTCCTTGAACGTGACCAAGGATACCTCGTCATTGATAATGCAATATCTCCTTCGGCGATATGCAATCAAGCAGCAAATGTTAATTCAGAACATAAAATTGCTTTCAGTGCTGTAAGTTCTTTAGCATTGCATCTCCAAACAGGTGTTACATCACCGTTAAATTGCTTCAGAAATTTTACTTTTAATCAGATAAAGATATTTATATTTAAATGCAATACGAACATTGGTGTAAGTGAAATAGAAGTCGTTCAGTGTGAAGATAACTCCATTATATGTTTAGGCAGTGGTGGTCATCATACATTTGTATAAAATGAAATGTCACGATATGACGTGTGTGATACTGTGGTAATCTAACTCTAACATAATATTATTATATCATATAACGCTTTAGACCGTAACTGTTGCCTTGTGTTTTCTGTTTCACTAGAAATGTCGTGAATTTTTAGTCTTCACCCGCATCTCGTGCATCATCACAATCGCCACATACTAATCGAAGTGGTGGAAGTTCTTCTGGATCGTTTTCATATGCTGCCAGTGTGCCATACAATTTACTTCCATCGAGCCAGAAGAAATCTCAGATTACACGAAACATTGCATCTACTGCTATATTAAGCGAGGTAACATTTGGCATTGTCAGAACTTTAAATTTTACTCTTTATTTAATTTTTTAATCTGGATTTAACACCTCTTTTTTGATAAGCGATGTCGAGTGTAGTTTTCATCCCATTCATTTTGATACTATGTGTCATTATCATCTGAACCTTGATTTGCTTTACTTTGAAAAAAGACTGTTTAATTTATTTGAGCAACGTAATTTATTTTTAGAGTATGAGCGCTGAATTAACGAAGCTTTCTGACGGACGTTTCGAGAGACTTGCTGAACAACTACATCAAATCCATCCTCTTCATCTGATTTTTCATGATCATTCATGGTATCAGAAGAGACCGACGCTGCTTTTATTTTGGTTTTTGAAAAAGTAAGTTTCGAAGTTAGTCTCAAACAATGATGGAAATTTGAAAGGAATTGCGTATCAGTGATGGATGCTGCGTGTTGCACTGCGCCAGATCGAAGCTTCGTTTTTTGACGCCATACCACCTTTTATCACTATCAATTGTAGCTTTTTTTTCTAGATTACCGAATTTACGCCGTTTAACTCTTCATTCAGTTCGAGGTGATCAAATAATCGAGTTGCATAAAGTTTTCTGTGTGGATGGAATTGACGAGTTGAATATTATTCAACCGGTAAAGGATTAACATGATTTACTAACTTATTTCTTTGCATTATGTTTTTGTTGGTTAAATATTTCTAGAAAATGAAAGCTTATCTTCAATATAATGTAATTAAGACATAATCGGAATTTTCAGGCTTATAATGCATGCATTATTGTTAACGAAGGCCTTTTTGATGCATTTCTACAAGTAAACAGTGCAATACGTCGAAGATTCCGTTTGCGCATCACTGGTAAAACTGACATTAGTGCTTCTACTCTTTGTAATTTCATCCGCGTAAGTTGTTTTTTCTTTGGATTATTGCGAACTCTTTTTTAATTTCAGTTAGGAAGTTATTTTAATTAACGATTCCCGACCGTGCGATGGACAATTGTTTACAAAGTGAAATTGTTTATACTGATAAAAATAATCAGATCATAACTTGTCTCTAAAAAATAATAGCGGGTCATAATATAAAGTTTGTGATGTTCTTTAACTGTAATTGGTTACTAGCAGCTACGATTGTCTTAAAGTTGTTCTCTTTTTCTTGGATAAATATTCCTTAAATAAAGGAAGTGATATTAAACATTGTAATAGTAACACTAGCCTAAATTCGTTTTTCTCAAAGGTTTTGGATAAGTATTGTGAATAAAAACATGCTTGAAAACTGAACTTGAATTGTCAATTTTTTTTAGAAATGGCGAAACCATCGCGAAATCGTACCATTCCATAGCATACTCATTGATGAAACATCTGTTTCATCATCAGAATTCGTTCATGCAACAAAATGTCCCGGATGTAGTGACTGCGGTGGTGAGGTTAGTTTTTGGTTTTATTTAATGGCATACTTAAACTGTTGGTATTTTGAAACAACATAAATGATTCAGTTGTTTTAGGTTGTACGACATAAATCCAACGGTACTACCTGGAATACTAAACAACTTATCTTCCGACATCGTAAATACAATGTTTGGATCAATTATAAATCTGAGAGCGGGTATGTTCTAGTTTAATCAATAGATTGAGTAGAATTAGAGGTGTGATTTGATTCTTCTATAACATGCATCGGAAAGGAAAAGTGTTTTCTGCATTCCCAGAAGTTATACTGCTTTAATGTCTTATTACGAAAAATTGGAAGAGTTTATGATTTCCATATTTTTGAAATGAAAAACTGTTAGCCTTCCTGCTTACGACATGCCAAATATGTTAAAGATCTACCTGTTATGTCGAATAATTTATTTATAGATACCTTGTATTCACCTATTACAATCCTAAGGACAGTAATCACTTTACGGTAAAAACAGTGGAACCCGAAAGCACCGTTGTTTCATTCTATTCGTCAACACCAATATCTCTAGAAAAACCAGAAGAAAGTGATATAGCTGATCATACTTGCTCACTGTTCAAGTCTGATCGTACTTGGTCACTGTTCAAGAAACCAACGAATGCTGTAGATGAACTGACAGTGCTACAACGAATTTTCGCTCTTATCAGAAGCAGCGCTTAAAAAAAAAAGAGGTTTTCGTTATTGTCGCCTCATTTATTCACTACTTTTTTTCGTTATATGTAAAGGCTTGCGAACGGTATTCCATTTATAATAGTATTATTTATTATTCAAAATGTTTCTGACAAAATGCTCATTTTTTTGTTTTGTTTAATCTTTACTATAACTTCGATATGAATGCATAAGCAGATCATTTGCTGTGCGAATAAGATTTAGTTTATTGTTTTCGAAAACAGATAAGGTTAGGAGCTTATTACTTTCTGATAGAATGTTTGGAACAAACGACATGATTAGATACTATCTCAGATTCAGATTGGATAACATGTCGAATAAATTGATCAAATAGCTTTAATTAATTGAATTTAGTTGACAGAGTCTTCAGGAATCTCTACTCTGAATAATTTCATCTTCTAAACTCAGTTAGTGATGAATTAAAAGTAGCTGGTGTATTTCGTCTTCCTTTTGATGGTCTTGTTTGTGAATAGAAGCATTACAATGTCTATTTTTCAATTATTTTACTAGTTGTGTAACTGGTGATTTAATTTAATTCAGATTTTCTTCTCTGGGACTACCTAGCTGTAAGATATCTTGTGAGCTTAATGAACTTTTCTCCACCCTCTTCCTTCCGATATTTTTTTTTAGATATGCTTTTTTTTCTTTGATTTTAACTCACCCAAACTATATGCTTGAAAGACACACTTTTTTATCAGATCCAAATATGGTTGTTTTCCTAACAATGCATTATTTATAAGCACGTATTGTACATATTTGTGTGTGTGTATCTGTATTTATTGCATATTTTAACATTTGTTTGCATATATGTACATATTGTGTGTTCTTTTTTTTTGCGGGAAGCTGATCGTATCAGTTTACATAAGCAATTACGTTTACTCGGTGACTATTATTATTTTTACGGGTAGTATTTATTCTACTTTCGTCTCTTTCAAATTTGAATTAATTCTTAAATTCCTAACGGTCAGCTTTTCCGCATTTTGTATTAAACTTTACTCTTGTACAGAAACATGCAATCTTGCGATTCCTTTTTCCGCTACTCTTCGATAATTCTCCCCTATCCCGCTGATGCTCAATTATCTAAGCTCTCTCGCCTTATATGTTTGTGTATTTACATTCTACTGTCATCTTTCTTCTTTCTTCACAAAGGTAACCGGTGAGTAAGATAATAATACGGATACATTTGGCACATGTTGTTTGAATTTCTGCAAAATTTTGTTCGAAACAATTTTGGTTTGTATTTCTGCGTGGCAAACTTGTGAGCCTTATTTCGGGAAATTACCCTAGATTTAGTATGTCCAACTATTCACATGTTTTCTTTTTTTTGAATGTTCTATAACCGGAACTTCGGCGCCGGTCCGAAATATATGTGCTTATAAGTGAGTTGTCATTAATTCACAAAAGATTTTGTCCTGCCAAATCATAGGCCAAATGATTTACGTATTAAAATCGTCATTGTGCTATAGCAGTCGCATGCATTCCATTCTTCCGGCAAGTTAAATTTGCTTTCTACTGATATCAGTCTAGAAATATTAAGAAAATGTTGCAACTCCAGTTGTTCACGTGCTGTCTCCTTATTTGCCATACTTCCTTTTTTATGAGCTGCATATTTCATTGTGACGTAAATCGAGAGCTCTTTCGCTGTATAATGATTTCCGTTCACGTTGGCACAACCATAATAACTCATCACACAAATCGTGATTATATATATATATATATATATATATATATATATATATATATATATATATATATATAT